GATATAAGAGTAGGCGATAGTGCCGCTGCCCGGGCAAAATTTCCCTCATAGCACACTGTATGGCGTATGTCCGTCTTCGTTAGCCCAGCATAGGAGCAGAACAGTAGGATGTTAAACTCATTTCATTTCATTTCATTTGGATCCCGATGTTGATCGAGAAAGTTCGATAGCACGGAAAGTCAAAGCCCCGTGTACACATTTGTGTGCTAATAAATGAATCTTTGACAGTTGGAATTCGAAATAAGAGCAGAACTTAGTCCTGCTGTCCGGGTAATATTTCCCTGATAGCACACCGTATGAACTATGCATGTCTTCCTTAGCCGTGTCGGAGCAGAACAGTATCACGTTAAACCCCATTTCATTTCTTTTTTGATCATCTTCATCATTGTCACTACCACCTGTAGTATCGGAGACGACACCTTTCCGAATAAACATTAATATAACAGTAATGTCGAAACTGTCATTTTAGCAATATGTTCGCCCATGGGTGTTCTAATAACATTCTTTATAAGCAGAAATGGAATATCTGTAAGTGTTTCAGAGTTGTAATGAAAGATCAAATTATTCCATTTCCCTATAGTAATGTAATAATCAGTTATTGTCAATTTAACCATTAAATACTGCATAAAACACAAATAGAACCGTTGAATTTATTGTGAAGAAAACTATTTATTATGGAGACATTTTAATATTTATAAGTTCAGCTGTTCTGTTTCCTATGGCGATCAAAAAAATCAAAGAAACCCATTTTCTATTTTGTGTAATAGATGGGGGGCCACGGTGGCTTAGTGGGTACGGCGCTGGCTCACGAACCAGGGCATCCGGTTCTCGTGTACACAATGACGTGCACGTAATTGTAATTGATTATTACCCAATACATAGTATATAGGTTTTTACAAGACAATAGTTTACAATAAAGTCGTGATGGCGGAGATGTACACTTATGTAGCTTATCTTTTATAAGCGAGATTTCAGTGCAAAATGAACATTTTTTTCTAAATTATGTAACACAATACAGTTTTCATTGTGCCGCAGTTCAATAAATTTAAACATTGATGGTTTGTTTTCCATTAGTATGTGTATATATGTATATTTCCGAGTGAAGTTGTGTGGGATTTACAGACTATTTCCAAAGCATTACAGTATGTACAAAGTCTACCATTTCATTCTTATAATATATAGGATGTTGTAAATAAAACTGTAATTTAAAATCTGCATTGAAAATTCTTGCCAAAAAATTCTCTTATCGTCAAATACAAATTGTATTTCCCATATGTAACCATAGTCATAAGTTTCTAAACAACTTATCCAAGAACTATACTCTTATTGGGCGGCGTATGTAATGCAAGCATAAACTTGTAGCAAGAATGATGAACAAAGTTGTTGGTTTTCAATAACTTAAGCCAATATTTAATAATTATATACTTTCTTATTAAAGATAGGGCTAGTCTACTGAATTCAACCCCCCTCACAGAATCCTTGACATTCTGCTGTCCGGGCCAAATGTCCCTCATCATAGCACAGTGTATTGAATATATCCGTCTTCATTAGCGCGATTGGTGCAGAAAAGTAGGACGTTAAACCCTATTTCATTTATTCATTATTCCATATAAAAGTTACCTGAAAAAAGTTTTTTGTTAAAATACGATATCCTGGTTTCTAAGACCATAACAATTCAATTTACACCTTAGTGAGCTTTCAGGCCCTTCAATACGGTTTACGTCAGAGTCACGCCTTACTGAATCTTCAAGATGTTTCATAATTAGTCAGAACAGGCTCAAATTGATGTCATCGCTAAAACTAATAAAACTTTTGTTCAGATGAACAAAGGCTTAATTAACGTCAATCCCAAGAAATAAAATCATCTATTGTGTTCGCTTAATTCACTGTCAAGTATTTTCTTGTATGTTTAAATTTGTATTTAAGTATCCCATTCTTCGATTGCAACTTGACTACTATAAATTATTTGTAAGAGGTTTTGCGTCAACATTAAACCAACAAAGGATTATAAACTAAGACCCTCAGACTGAAAAGACAAAAATAGATTTTTTTTTGAAAGAAGATAAAACATAACATATCTTGAAAGAAAAACGAAGAATTGCATTTTGTTTGATAGAATCGAAGGATTTAATTGAAAATGTTATTATTTCATTAAGTTGAACCAATGAATAGCTATTTTGGTCATTGAAAAAATAAGAAGTTGAGAGTTTTACAAAATGATTTTAATTAAGTTATTTTATGATGAAGATGCTTTTATAATAAAGGTTTGACGATAAATCAATGTTGACAAAACATATTTTTTTTTTATTTAAGAAGCTTGGATAAAGCATAGTCTGGAAGAAAGAAGTGTCTAAGATGAAGGAGCGAAAGGGCTTGACAACCCAAAACGTCGAGCATTTTCATAGCTCAGCACATATGAAATAGTAACTTCGGAAATCCGATTTCTGCGGAAGTCCTTAGGCGATAATCGAGGGTAGGGTTTTATTCTCTTGATTAGAATGTCACGGGTTCTAGTATTGGCGTGGGCCGGGAGACAAGAACCATTGGTTCTCAGTCGTCAATGACAAGGAAAGTCTAGTCGCTCGAGTGATATCAGAGAAACCAAGGTCCACCTCATATAAAATGGAATATTACATGCTAATATATTGTGTCACAATTTAGTATTATTACGAATGGAAATGTTAATTATAAAGTGCCGACAGATTCAAAGTGGTGCCTTGATTCAGCCACCAAAATGCAGCCTCTCGCAAGTTTTATGACTGGCGCAGTATAGCTGGATTAGGTTTTTAGTGCCATTGAATTTTCATTCCATCTCTCACGTGTTTTGTAAATAGGTTCAAATAGGTTGTTTACTTCTTATACTGGCATAAGTAAATCGTGGACGAGACGATAAACCCCATTCTATTCTTATTCTACAAATGTAAATTTAAAAAAAAGACTGACATTAAAATATATTAGTACGTAGAGAGAGAATGCTAAGCCAAAATATATTTTGCCAATAAAATTGAAATTCGACATTTAAATATATTAGTACGTGGAGAACAGTAGGACGTTAAACCCCATTTCATTTCATTTCACGTGGAAAGAGAATGCTATTTCAAAATATATTTTGCCAATAAAATTGAAATTCGAATAAAATAAATTATTACATTAAACGTAAACTAGCTAATCATATTATGTTAGTTTCCAAAAAAAAACTAGGTGTATTGTTGATTAGAAGTTTAACTCTATCAACATATTTTCTTCTCTATTTTCTTGTTTGAAACACGTGAAATAATTCAATAAGAACACGTGGATCTGATAAAACCTGGTGATGTCAGTGTCAATATCGATAATGTCAATCTTAACTTGCTGATCTGTCTAAATACCATCAACCACGCCCCCGTCTGGTCACCGGACACCTCAACAGATCAACGTGTTTCATTGGTCAGTTCTCATATGTCCGTCAATGTTCTATTTTATATACCTGAATAGTTGTGAATTAAGTAATTTAGTGATAAAACGTGGCGTCGCTTTCTGATAGCTAATGATAATGTCCACGTGTAAAATTACGTGATTAAAAGAGATTAACGGAATATGACAACAAGTCATTTAACATTGTTAAATCATACGGAGAGATAAATGGGGTTTAACGTCCACACGACACGGACTAGGTCATTTCGGGACTAAAATATGGTTTAATTTTATTTCAATAATTCGCTTGCGCATAGGGGTCTTTAGCAGTGGGAGGAAACCAGAGGACCCGGAGAAAACCCACGAGGTTGAACAGGCGACCCTACTCCTTGTCACGTACAACTGGGGATTCGAAACCACGCCAGTTGACTCAATGACAGACCTCATGATACAGCGCGCTCGTGCGAAGTATACAGGTTGTAGTGTGGTGTGGTCAGAAAGCGTTAATCTGTGTACCATAAAGCTCCTCCTTGCAGCTATCTTAGTTAAATGTGACAAACTACAATTAAATATGTATATACCCATCTGTTTGCTTTAATATGTTTAAAAGAAATCTGTCAGATTTTACAAACAATTTGAAATGTATATTATATTGTTCAGCACCTGAACCCTTTAAACATACCAGCTTCATATTTCATGCGGGGGTTACGGTGGTTAAGTGGGTAAGACGCTGGCTCGCTAGCATGGAGGTCGGGTGTTCGATCACTTTATTGGCCGGAAGATTTTGCGGCGTGGTTCCCCCTTGTCAGTGATGCAGGACGGAGGGCCTGACAAGCACAGCTGTGTAGTCGTTTGGATGGGACGAAAAACCGATGTCCCGTGTACACATTGGCGTGCACGTAAAAGATGTCTTGACAATTGGAATTCGATATAAGAGTAGCACACTGTATGGCGTATGCCCGTCTCCATTATCCCGGTTCGGAGCAGAACAGTGGGACGTTAAACCCCATTTCATTTCATTTCATATTTCATGCATACTGCACGCCTAGAAGCTTAAATCTAAATGTCCATTATAACTTGCCTGGCTCTCACCTATCCAGGTTGGTGTCTATAGGGCGGGCAAGGAATGTGTATCTAGTTTTTCGGAAGGGCTTAAAATCGAGGTCCATCCGTGTAGACATCAGTGTCCACGTAATATAACCCGCGACAGTTGGGATTCGCAGAATAGAATGCAAAAACGCCCGTCCGAGCAAAATCTTCCCTCCTATTGCATAGTAACCATAGAAATGTATTGGGACGGAAAGAATAAAAGTCTTTTCCTTCAAGCAATGCTCCGTATTTCTTGTGAACACATTTATTTTTTTTAAAAAAACAAACAAAGTATCATGACAAGACCTTGCTAAACTCCGTGATCTGGTCTGATCAGATTTATCTTGATTCAGCAAGAAAAGTGAAAGAAGATATATTTTAGTGGTGAATCCACGTGGTTTACTTGAAACATCGTCTAATGTCAATCAAGCGAGGCAACTACTGAGTGAACCGATTCTATAACGCGCGCGACTAAAAACTATTTGGTCGATGAGATGAACGAGAGAACGTGCGTGCTGCTTGGCTACTAGATCTCGCCTATTCTGTTGGTTAGTTGGAGTCGATCAGTCGACCGGTGTGGGTCTATATTAGCTCTCACTATAGTAGCTAGTTCAACTGTGTGTTACTAGAGTGTCTATTCACTAGAGTGATTTATTGTAATATTTGACAACAATCATGTTATATTATTAACCATGATGTTTTAATATAGACAAAGATTTGTTAATATTAGATCATGTTTTGATAAAACCGAATCACTTTATGAAACGTTGTATTTGTGGACAGGGATATTTTAACGTGCTGTGATTTTTTGGGGCTAAAATGGATCATTTCCTTCGGATTATCTTTTGGATACAGACCTTTACACTGGTCGTTGCTAGTTTAGGTAAGATACCCTTTTTATCACTTATATAAACATTTATTACATGCACGTGCGTCATATACATACATGCACATGTTATATAATAAACATAATAAATATAGTATATATATAGTATATATATCTATACCTACAATCTATTGTTATACTGACAACTCATCATTTGTAGTAGAACAAACGTTAGAATCGTAACACTGTGACACATCAAAGCTGAGACACGGATTCAATTCACAAAGATATTGTCGTAAGATGGAAAGGGCAGTTACATGGGTTGGGAATCAAGGAACATGTTCCTTAACGTTACAAGGGGTAGGAATCAAGGAAAGTGTTCCTAAAAGTTACAAGAGGTGGGAATCAAGGAACGTGTTTTCAAAAGCTATAAGGGACAGGAATCAAGGAATGTGATACTAAACGTTACAAGGGGTGGGAATCGAGGAACCTGTTCCTAAACGTTACAAGGGGTGGGAATCAAGGTGTTTCAAAACATTACAAGCGGTAGGAAGAAATGGATATGTTCCTAAACGTTATAAGGGTGGGAATCAAGGAACCTGTCAAATATGGGTGCGTGGTCGAATTTCAGTTCGCAGAAAAATACCTTAAAATAAAATGCGCTTTATTACCTTAAGACGAAATATCACGATGTCTAAAACTTCAATAATTCATACAAGTCCAATCCAGGTATACCCCAAAAGCACGCAGATGACAACTGTCTGTACTACTGAATAATTGTTAAACTTGTATATTATACTATAAACGCATAACACTACATCCAGGAATTAATTTTTAACAAGAATGTATGCGTTGACAAAATACGAAACAAAATATCAAGGAATTGTGTTTGAACCTAAGTGTAGATATATACCCAGTCCCAAGCTATCAAAACATTGGACTAGTTATACGTAAATAATGAAGTTGTGTCGAACAGAAATGTAGGCTACGTGCACACCAAAGCGTCAATTGAAATATAAACACATTACATAAATAAAAAAGTTCACATATGAATCCCTTGACAAAACATTATCTGACAAATAATTACATAAGTAGACAATTGCGCACTGAACTTGATGTTAGGAATTTCTTTATGCCTAACAAAAATAATTTGACAAAATTTAATGTACTTATATTAAAGCAATTTTGACAATAGTATGGATTGAATTGATGATGGTAAAACACAAAATACACGAATTTAAACGTATACCATTCTTATTTCGGTTATTAAGCTAAATAAATAATCGGGTAATAAAAAATGAATGTTCAAACCATTGCTCCCGTGGGGTATAATTAATAACAGGTCTCGTGCATGAAGCAGCTTGTGCCCTATGTAGAATACGTTATGCCACTTGATATTTGACGAGTTCACATACTGACATAGCAAACAAATATTTGTTGTAAGTTTATGTTATAACCGATTTCTACCAAAGCTAAAGACAGAGGCGGTTTTCATATATGTATGCGTGTATATGTCAAATTATAAATAAAAGATGTCTATTCTTCAATGGCCCTATAATCTCGGGATTAACATCTCCACTTGTTTAAACTGACATACAGGGTTAGCGCCTTGTTAAAATTTTGTCATGATATATTGGATATAATAGTAGATCGTTTTGTTAAGAAACATAACGCTACAGTATACACTTGCGTATTTCGGAACTCGCAAATTTTAGACAGTACAGCACTGCTCAACAAGCACACAACAACACTACAGACAATTAATATTGCTGTGTAAAAGCTCGATCATTACGAATCTTCAATATAAATAGACTCAAATTTTAAATTGTAAAATATAAATCGTCTAAATAGATCAGCGATTATAATTTCTAAGCTAAACAAATATTCTAAATCATTTGTATGACAAATGTTCGTTTAAAAACATCGCCAAGTATCGCCTCGTTCTCTAAATCATATCTAACATTAAAGATTTTTGTTAGGAATAATACCAATTTATTCGTGTTAAAATAGTACTAATTTCTGGGTTAATTTACATACCGCGTGTCGATACTTTATGAATTAAAGACAAAGTTACTTTGTAATTCCATTTTTAACTTTATTATATTGCATGTATGTAACTCCAAAGTCAAAGATTAGCTGTCAAATATTCATTCGCACGTCTCTTTTTTTCTTCAAACTACCTCGCCGTATAACAAACTCTAAAACAGTAAAAAGCTAGACAAGTTAAAATGGGGATATAATTGGAAACAATGTGGAATTAAACTTGAGTCATGTATTTTCAATATCAAAGTCAGAGCAATGAAAGTCTTGGAATAAATTAAGGGTTGTTTTAATAAAAGTTGAGCATTAGATTAAAACACAGCCAACGCCTTAGTCATTTGCAGCTATCAGAGTTATCACATATTCCCAGTCGTTCTAAAATCGATGTAATTTTCTTGTTTCTTAATGCATGAGAGTTGTAGTAATTCTGCCTCCATTAGCTAGAGAGCTAACTGTCCGCCATTTGGACACGTGATTCTGACATGTTGTCATAGAAGTTAATTTTTGTGGAATAATCCGGATCTTAATGTTTTTATTCCTTAATAGTAATACACATGCTACATATCAATGTCTCCGAAATCACTCACAAATTGCATTCGCGTCTGTTTTTGAGGAATATATTGTCTATTTCTTCACAATCTTATCATTCTAAATTAACCCTTTTGCAACACCTGATACAAAACGAGTTCACATAGTTAACCAATTTTTGTTAAACTATTTGCATGTTTAACAATTCTAAAGAATATTAAAATGTACCGGTAGTTAATTACCGCATATTTTGAAGACTATGTAATATTTCTTCGAGAATTTATAATTGCCTTAGTGACTACTCTAAGACTATTTCCCGACAACAGGAAAACCATTTATCAGACCATTTCGTCCTTAACTTTTTGAACTGTATTAATAAATGAGAAGTCAATAAGATGTTTTAGAATACCGACTCATCATCACTTACATCGAAATACAGCAATTATTAACAATGTTTGTGATTTTAGGAAATATGTCGATTTGAATATGTTTTTGTAGATATACAAGTAGACTACACGACCGTAATTTCTATCTTTTCTAACAACAAAAGAAACGCCATGTCGATTATTAAACTCATTTATATTTTATTTTATTCAGATCGATTTTATCATTGATCTGATTTCTCACTCTCTTGTCTGTCATATTAATTGATGAAAAATGATTTCCGGCTAAATTTTAAACATCAAAGGAACCGAATATTGGAAAAGGTTTTATCTGTTAGATATTTTGAATCGTGTTAATAGCTGTTTTGACTAAATACCAAAGAAACCTTCCTCCAAGCAGAAAAACAAAACAAGCCTTATTTTGCTTTTCGAATATTTGTAAAAATAATACTTATTCATAGTTTTATTCCGCTTTCATTAGGTTCGTCGAGGATGAAAAGTAGGGCGTTAAACCCCATTTCTTTCATTCGTAGTTTTATGTCGTCTTCATAATCCCATTCGGTGCAGAAAAGTAGGAATTAATCTATATTTTATTTCATTTATCTTCATTAGCCCCTTGGGTGCAGAAAAATAGGGCATAAAAAGTTAAACCCCATTTCATTTATTCCGTCTTCATTATCGCAGTCGGTGCAGAAAAAAATTAAACCCCATTTCATAATTTCATGCTTTTATCGTAAGATTTCAATCTGAAATCTCTGTCTAATGAAGTATAACTAATAATAATATAATGTCATTTATATAGCGCCAGTCCACACAGAGTATGCTCGTAGCTTGTGATTCAGTTCTGTACAATAAAAGTTCAATACCAAGGCACCACTAAACATACCGTTTAAATAGATATGTCTTCAATAAGGTTTTGAATGTCGATAAGGATGGGTATTTTTTGAGGTGGATAGGAAGATTGTTCCAGTAAAATACTGCAGCAGTGTATTTTAAAGATAGCACACCAAAAGATTTGAAGTTGTAATTGAGAATCTTTACAAGAAATAGTACACGGGAAATAGAGGATATACAAAATGCATGAAATTCATTTTAGTTGTAATTCTTTTTATAGAAATGATTCTTCATAGCTACGATCCTGTACAATAGATTTTCCAATAATCTATTCAGATCGTACTTTATTAGGATCGGTAACTTTCGGTGATTCTGTCAAGTATTGATGTTGTTGCACCGTGTTACCCGAACACTTATAATGGATTAGGGACTAGGCTTGCCATTAAATTCTTTAAAAAAATATAATCCCTTTACAATGATGTTAAAATCAATAACAAAACACGATGTCACGCTGGTCTGTGGCATTGTAAGCGATGAAATGAATGAATGAACGAATGAATGAATGAATCTTGTTCAATCAGGATGCACAATACTTTTTTGTATTAATCGTTGCAAATGAATTTATTTCAAAATAGATTAGTACCTTTTTGTATGTCATTTTAGTGCGGGTACCAAAAACCCAAGTGGGGGTGGGTTATATACTGTGAGTACGTAGCGTCTCGTTTGGTTATATTATCGAAGAATCCGAAACGTCCCATTCGGATGTATTAGCAAGGTATGATGCGATGAGTACGAAACGTCTCATTGGATTATATTATAAAGGTATGGTGTGAGTGGTACTAAACGGCTCATTAGGTTTTATTATGAAGTGAACGCTATAGATTACAAATCATGATAATATTGACTGTTATAACTTTATTAACAGATATCAATCAACGTGACGTGTATTAGATGTATGACGTATATCTACGAATGTCATCATGAGATACGTCCAGATAATTAACATGTATTAAATTATCAATAAGATGATCCAGCGATCAAAATAGATATAAACATGTAATGACTTCATTATCATTTTGATATGACGTTATTAATACATGTAATAGACGATTATTTAAAGTGGGTGGAATCTATATATCCAAACCAGAATAATCAGTCCTTATTAATCGGCAATAAATTTTATTCATCTGATTGTTTATGTATATCAATTTAGAAATTCCAACAGTTTAACCTCTCTTATTTCGATAACGTAACTTACTGTAAACAACCATT